CACTGGGTATTAACCAGGGCCTTTCACATACTTGGCAAACTGTGTATCACTGAATTATATCTTTAGTTCTCACTCATTGTTTTAAAGAATATGACATAGAGCCTTAGTCTACAGCTGTTGAAGTGAAAGAAGGTTCACATCCCTAGTTGATACCACAGGATCTAAACAGAATCTCAAAAAAATTTAGATTTCTAAGACTGGCTTGTTCAGCTATCTTAAATATATTTCAACATGTGATCTGTCAGGTATAAATAGAAGAGAAGGTGTGTGTGTGTGTGTATTTTTCTGTAGAGTGAATATATCTGTGTTTAATCTTTTTAAAAAGTGCAAGAACTATGTTTCTTTTAAATTTTATTATTTTATAGAGGTTTTTGCTAATATACTAAAACTCCAGCTTCTCTAGAGATGGTTTTTAAAGTGGTCCATAATTAGAGACAGAAAGATGACTTAAGTTTTAATCTATAGAATAATTATTAAATTCCCTTCCAATGTATGATTCAATAAGACTGACATATAACTGATTACCACCAACTAAACTTTTAGACCTTCCCTGAAATAGAAAAAAAAAATTTAAATGTTTTAAAAATATTGTAGAATTACAGTTGGAATTACATTGAGAAGTATTTTCTATTAACAATGAAATGAGTTTTATAAATATAAACCTACCCCTTTCAAAGTATAATAATTAATACATATTACTTATGGTCTACTTTTGGGGTTGGATGCTGTTAGTTACAAATAATAGACAATATGACTAGTGGAGGCTTAAACACACACATTTATAATTTATCAACAAAAGACCAAAAAAGTGATCCCAAGGTTGCCCCATAGTAAGGTCAGGACCCAGGCCTGACCCCGGCCCTGACATGCTCAGTTTGCATAACAGTTTCGCTTCAGCTTGTGAGGGAACCGGCCCCCAGTCCTCACCTAAAAAGTCTAACACCAAGAGAAATTCTCTTTCCTCCTCTGTCAGAGTGGATAATCTCTCCCAGAGCCCCCAAAGGTTTACCCGCTTACATGTTGACCAGAACCAAATTTTGTGCCCTGAAATCAGACACAGGTAGAACATGAGGTTGTTCTATCGGTCCTGAAACATGAGAAATCCCCTGGGGCTGGAGACCCTGCCACTCACCCATTCTCAGACTCTGATGGCAAGGAAATTAATTCAACACTGTGTGCTGCACACAATCTCTGCTGAGTGCTTCATAAATATTGTTTAAATCTTTTAAAAATAAAAACAAAAACATGGTTCCCATATGTACAATGCATAAGTGAAGAAACTGAGGTCTCAAGATATCCAGTGATTTTCCAACAGTGATTCACATTTTCCAGCAGTGATCAGCTGCATCTGAACAGAGCCTGACTAGTTCCAACGCCTCAGCCCATCCGAGCCATGTGGTTGCCAATTCTACCACAGCAAGATGAAAATGGTGGTCCACGTTAGGGAGTCTGGAAGGCCACTAATGTCAGGTTCTGTTTACCAAATATGATGAGCGCTTCAGATTTCTTGGAAAAAGATGCTTATGTGTATCTTTATTATAAACTTTCCCCTAAACAAATGTGTTTGGGTTCAAGGAAAAACTGTCCCTGGAATGGAGATAACAGGCACCATTAGTGTCACAGGAGAGAAAATATTACTGCTCCAGATTCTGCATGAACTGGTTCCATGCAGTTTGAGCCCAGCACCAACCAT